TACTTATATTTTGATCTCAACTCCCATAGAGTTATCTCAGAAAATACTACGAATAAACGTCCCGACACCTTTCAAGTCTAGCGAGCATCGATTTATTGTATAATGGTCTTTTAGTACTAGTAAATTACTCGTTGTATTATTTGTCGAATCAAAACATGTTTCATTTTGAATTTTTGTGGAATATTCTGTGACTCAGTATAGAAGCCTAAGCTATGTTTGTTTGTTGTAGCGAGTTCCCTTTTTCTTCTTCACTTTTGCAATGCTGTTCATTTTCACTTACTCAGGTTTGTAATAAACGGTTATGGCCTTATTCAAGTCTTCAGCTACAAATTTGAAGTCATGACCACTAATATGCATTGATATTTCACTGTTTGTTTATTTCAAAAGAAAGTGTTACTTTTTCATGTTTATCTGTAGGGTGTTTGAGTCCTTAAGTAACAGCGATTAATAAACCGACACACTCTTTCCTGTTAGCGCGCAGGTGTGGTGTTTGAATGGACGAATGATACCTTTGTACTGGTTGAATGCTTGATTTCGAATTCTAAATACAATACATTCGTTTATGCCAGTGTCTTCTTAATTCAATTGCGTTAATCCTGGAATTCCTAATTCATACGACAATTAGAATACTATAGCAGGTCACCAGTGTAGCTGTATTTAAATTTCCTACTGGTCAAAGTCATAGGGTAATTGCCGCAAGTTCTAAGCATTTAACTGCAGAAGAAGTCCACAAAAACCCATAATTTACAAACTAGAGTAAAAATAATTCTAAGAAGTGTTGAAAAATGAATCTGCATAATATCTCAAACCTTCACTGAAATAATCTAAGTTTTTGCAAACGTGGTAAGCCTCTGATGTAATAAGCATAATAAGTAACCATATTTTACGACAAGTGTGTACATCACTGTCCATTTTTACGACGCGAGCTGATAAAGGACGAGACGTCTCACAGAACTGACAGCTGATTATTCCTTTAGCCACAATCATACGTGATAGAATGTTATTTTTACAGGAACAGTTTATTTGGTCCGTCAACCTGTCTAAAGAACATAGGATGGGGCAGTTAGCTAATGTGGAGTAACTAACAATCATAGTGTGTATGTGCATCTTACGAACTCATATCTTCCATAGAAATACGAGAAACGTACTATTTGTTCCATGCTAATGAATCTTAGGATAACTGACATTCTACTGAAATCATCTTATCTACTACACAGGGTCGTGCGCTGATAATGTGATATGCACCGTTTTGGTTGTCTCTATAGGTCACAATTCATACTCCGTCTGACGCTTTGTTTTTTTTATTTATGGCTTTAGTGCAGTTTTTGGTGTATTGTGGACCTTACTGCTGATTGAAGTTATTCTTACTATTATTTTATCAATACTCTTAATTCCCGACATAATAATGATCTGTATTCTGGCTTAAACAATACAACTTTATTCCAATTAACTTGTAGGTCACCAACGTAGATGATCTATGTCGAAATGATTGGAGGCCTACTCGAGTTAGACGTGAGTGGTGTGACAAACTAGCTAACGTCGAAGTTACACCTCGTAGTTAGCACCTTACGTGAACTACCCCCATTGACGTTCCAAGATATTATATATGCTTTGAATACTGTACACCACAGAGGAGGTTATTACAGAAATATATTAGTTAAAGTAGTTACAAGCGAAAGTAAGACTACTGCCGCATGGACCAGTCCATGGCATACGATTAACTGATGCGCATTGGTTGTCCCTGACCTTGACGAGGATCGATGATTGGCTCAATGTTCAATGACCTAACTGCCGGATGATTTGGCTATGGCTTAGTGACATTTCGCTGGCCCTACAAACTCACACACTAGATGTGTCTCCGTTTTGATAGCACTGTTTGGCACTCAATTACTTCGTTGTGATTCAAAGGCTGTGCTTCTTTATGTTACTGTTATTTTAGATAAGGACACCTCACTTCAAGTTTGTCATGTACTTTCGGTCGCTGTACTTCACACAGTAATTCATGATACTAAAAATCGTTCAGTGCCTAAGATTCTCGACTATAGTCGAAACATTGATGTTAGTTCTATTGTTGTTATAACAGTCTCAATTCACTGGGATTAACTGGAATAGTGCAGTTGGTCAGCTTACTGCACGTTTCATGTAGTTAGCTACAATTTAAAACATCTCTGTGAGTTCCGTCTGAACACAAACATCAAGTGGAATAATTGGGAGTTGTAGGCCAGGTAAGAGGGGATTGAACTGTGGAGAAACACGTCTCGCAACCAATTTATTATTTACCATTTGAAATAATTTAAGCCAATTATCCGAATCATACTTCAAAAATTGATGGTTCAAATGGTTGTGGACGGAATAGAAGAAGTTTTCGCTTAACAGGCTTCCGTGTCTAGTAGCAGGGGATCACCAAATCCTCCAGGCAGGAACCTAGGTATGTTAATAATAAAAGAGGAAAAGAAATTGGTAAATCATAGTGTGATGCTCTCCTTGGTCCTTAAGAATAGGTCAAGTTGCTTCTTGAAGGACTTCTGAGAAGTCGCTTGGACTAGCTCGGCCGGTAGCGAATTCCAGCATTTGACAACTCTTAAGGAGTAGAAGTTGTGTCTACATTCCATCTTGCTATGTTGTGTCTCCAGCTTCTGGGTGTTACTCCTTAGGTTATTATTCGAACTACGCTTAAGTAGGTGTTTAAGAGGATGTCCAGAAGTGTTAAGGATGCTGTAAGCCATCAGAAGATCACCTCTAAGACGCCTACACTCTAATGGGTAAAGGTCTAGTGAATGGAGGCGTTCTTCGTAAGGTTTAGATTTGAGTCCTCGAACTGATTTCGTGGCTCGCCGTTGGATACGCTCAAAAGTGACCTTGTCCTTTTTGAGTGAGGGGGGAATACTATGTTTCCGTACTGTAAATGGGGACGGATGAAACTAATGAAGATTGTATGGAAAGTTCGTCCGTCAAACTGTCCAAAAATGCGCTTCTACGTTACCAGTGCAAGGTTTGCTCGGAAGGCATTTTTGTCACAGTTAGCGTAGGACTTCAAATCATGGGGCACCAGGACTCCTAAATCTTTTTCGACTTGGGATACTACTAGAGAGGAGTTTCCTAAGTTGTGACTGTAGTTTGCGACATGTCGCAGATGGACTACTTTACACTTTGAAGTGTTAAAGGTAAGTCCGTTATCGTCTGCCCAACTTTGAAGTCGAGTCAGATCCTCCTGAAGTGCTTGTATATCGTCTTGGTTGCGCATCTCTCTCTCTCCAAAGTTTCACGTCGTCGGCAAAAAGTAATAAGTCTGACGTTACCTATTGAGGAAGATCATTTATGTAGATCAAGAAGAGAAGAGGCACTAGTACTGAGCCCTGGGGGACTCCACTAGGACATTCCATAGCCTGAGATAAAGTGAAATTAACCCTAACCTTAAAGTGTCGATTTTTTAGGTATGAAGTAAGCCAATCGATTAGAGGTGGTTTGATACCCAGTCGTTTGAGCTTATTGATAAGACAGAAGTGGTTAACCTTATCAAAAGCTTTTGAGGAATCAAGGTAACTGATATCAACCTTTCCCTTGCGATCGAGGATGCTTGTCCATCTGTCCGCGGCAGTCAGCAGGTTGGTTATACAAGAGTAACCCTTCCTGAAACCATGCTGTTGGGGTGAGAAGAAATTTAAGAACAGTAGATAGTCGTTTAAACCGTCGCATATTAGGGACTCCATGAGTTTTGAAGGTAATGACCGAAGAGCCACCGGCCGATAACTTGAAGGTTCATTGCGTCGACCACCTTTGGAAATTGGTGTGATGTGAGCCAACTTCCAATTTTCCGGTAGTTTGCCTCGGATTAGCGCGTGTGAAAACATCACGCTAAGCGGCGTTGCCAGGATTGAGGCTGCCTCCCTCAGTATGGCAGAATGAACCATATCCTGGCCAGGAGAAGTATCTAGTCTTAAGTGCTGCAATTTCCGGAACACCAAGTCGGCGCTTAGGTCCACTTCGGAAAGTCCTGTGGAATTGCAGATGAAACTGTCGTCAGTAAAGTTGATGTCGGCCGGTTGAAATGTTTGAGAGTAATGTGTCGCCAGAAGGTTAGCGGCGTCTTCATCGTTTCACCAATAAATCTATAAGGCTTTATTGAGATGAATTTTCACGCTTTCCCTCCGACACAGAGATACCAATGACCCGTAGTTATTAAATAAAGAGGCTTACTGAGCGAAAAGATTTCCTATTCCGTCCTTAGATACATCCGCTTACTTGAAGCAATTTAATTATGCTCGAGCTGGTTAGTAGTAAAGAAATGTATGTGATCTATGCCGGTGGTTGTGATCTATCCGGGTTGACCAGGAATTATGTGGCCTCCTAGCATACACCGAAGCCAAAACTCGCGGCGAATAATTAATCATTGTGACCAGGTAAATCAGCTATTTTGGAAACTAGTTTAAATGAATAATTTTACTAAAGTAATGTACTATGGTAAGAGAACTAGAGAATAGTTGATAGTGAATATGTTACGGATGTCAAGGGCTTGATGATGCTGTCATTCGCATCATTTTCGCAATCAAGGATCTCAAAACCAGTCAAGCCAGAGGTCAGTAATGAAGTAGTTTAAAGGTATACTTTGAAGATAGTTGGCATGTTTGTGTGTGAGCTAAGCAGTGTAGTTGTTGCGAGAGATGAGTTGGGCGGCGTACCTATTGATTATCTGGTGCTGATGCGTGACCGTGAGCCTTCGGCTTGAATGTCTTCAGTAAAATGAATAAAGTCAGGACCGATTTCGAAAACTTACAACACTATTTATTGCGAGGATATATTTGCTTTCACAGTTAGGCCAATATTGAGTGCAACACGGACATAAATATTTGACCGGGTACCTATAAAGCATTCGCTATGATATTTATCTACGTTAATGTGCAAAACTAAGCTAGAAAGCTATGAGATCCCCCAACGGATATGGCCTTGAAGGTCGGAAGTGTTTGTAAATACTAGAACACCTGTTTTTGATAGTTTCCAAGGTCAGTCGCATTTCAAACTGTAGAAAAGTCTATCATCAACGGATATATGCTTATGGTTATTTCGGCCAACTTAAGTATAAAACTCTTTTCCACATCATATGTCTAGTAATGACCATATGATCCTAGATTTTTCAACCAATTCCAATACGTTTATGTACTACTTTGTTCTCATCATGCAGAAACGCATTTTATTCGAAGCTAACTCAATGAATCCATTTTTCAGGTGTCATATATCCGGCGCTTCGAACATATCCTTGGTTTGCCTACGATTTTGCTTTATGTTTTAGGTCAAATCGAATCTTCTTCAGACTCAAGTTGTGAAATTATCTACATCTCAACAGTTGACACATTTAGAATTCATGTACGAAAAAATGTGTTGTACGTAGTCTCAATAAGTTTTAATAGTATTTAGCGAGGATCTTGTACCGGTTTCTAATATTTCGCATATTTATATCCAGCGAGCAAGATTTTAAATTTGATCTAAAGTAAATACTGTTTAGCACGTTCACATTGAAGCAGGTTTTCTACCAACGAAAGAAGACCACTTATCTTCACTTTTTCTACAAAGATTCAGTCTATAACCATCAAAAAGTTTACTGTGATGGTTCCTTTGTCCACGGTTCTAAGATCAGCGGTTTGTTAGCATGATACATTCTAACTTTTTATCACTGTTCAGTGGTTAAATCTTACGATTGATTTGTTTTCTTTTATACACGACTTAAATGTTCAAGATGGCCTTAAAAAGCTACAAACCATCACGGTCTACCCATTTTGCTATTTATCCGAGCTTTCAGTCACTTCATCCTCCATCAGTGATGTTTCCATTCTCGATAGTAAGTCTTTATGTGTCGATAGATTGATTAACTTTTTCCATTCTGTATTATATAGTAGTGTATGGACGTTTCTAACTTTTCAGGGCATCTTAATTAGTTTCAACTTAGTGTATGCTTCTATCAACTTAGCTTCGGGATATTTTCGAGTTTTAAGTTACTTGTATACGATAGAATATTAGATGGAAATAAGTATGAATCATTGATTCCCTATAAATTTCCCAAAAGGTGCCATATAACTCAAATAAAACTTATATGTCACTTCTCAAAGAACATGAAATCTCAGCCTCCATCGAGTAGAATAAAACTAAAAACAAAGTGGTCGCTTCCAATAGAATAGTGTTTTATATCTTTGCTTGAGAAATTCCGTACTTCACGTCAATTCAAAATTACGCATGAAACTGCGCGTTTTAGCCATTAAACAGGGGTTTTAGGCTCTATCTAATATGCTTTTTCAGGACAACTCGGTAGTTTTTTAAGCTTCGACGTTTCAAGTGTAGCTTCAAGATAATATACTGATCTGAGATTACAGAAATAAAGCTTCACAGTTAAAACACGACAATCATGTACGAACGAAAACAGCTATAATTCTTATTCATTATAAACATGCTTGTTGTGGAATTGTCACCAAACAATGTTGTATTGAATTGTAAACGAAATTCCAGGATAATTTCCATAAGTTTCAACAGTACTGACTTTAGTCCCTCGTCTTTACTTTCGGCCATTCATTGTTAGATTTAATGCTTTTATTTCAAATGAAAATATATTGGTGCCCATTTTTACTCATCTGTTCATGAAACGTTTGTGGTCTAAGTGAATAATGAAATAAAAGTCCTGATGTTGCTAACGTTTTATCGAAAGACGTTTAGTGTGTGATGTTACTAACTGTTTAAGTTTTTCTTCTCAATACCCGAACTTCTTTACCTCATAATAAAGTTTCACCAACGATTGTGTATTGCTCTTGATAAACTTGATGTAAATGTACTTCTATTTTTAAAGGTATATATTAACGGTTGTTTATTTTTCGTGGATAAATTGTTTTGGTTTTTAAAGCTAAGATGCAATTTGAAAATTTAAATAATTACTGCATCCAACTGAAGAACTTATCATAGTACACCTGTTTAGTTTTTCACAAGGTTGTTCAATAAATACTCTTTTCATCCGTTTGATGTAATCTTATTTGAAAGATGTAAACTACATAGTTTGTTCTATTTCTTTATTTAGATCCTCAAACTTCAGAAAATAACACGCCAGAAATTTACCAGGTATACTTGTGGGATACTTTAAACACCCCGTTAATGTTGCTTTATCCATATATAAGTTACACATTTATGATATCAGTCGTTTATTTTGTGTGATTTTTAACAAGCACGGGCATTATCTGTGAAGGCATAGGAAGATCGGGGCCTTAGGAGTCAAAGACTTTGTGCTTAATTCCGTCTGAGATTGGAAGGTGCGCGCTGTTAGCTAGGTCCAGCGATAAATTAGTAACTACCTCTCTTCAACTGTGTTGAAAATAAAAATTATGTTTGACTTACGGCGGTTTGTGCAAACGGTTTTTACCATTATTTCTTAGATGAAATGTGATTCAAAGCTCAATACACAAATCTGTACTTGGTTCTGAAGTTACAACCAGCTACTTTTGATCTAGGACAAAAAGTTTTATCAGTGCTCTCTGCACTTGTGACAGTTTAATTTAACCCATGACAAAATTGTTGTAAAATTAATCAGACATTAAATTATCATTTCATTAGACACGTATTTGATTTTTCTAGTGTATGGGAGATTCTGATCCTGGTTGAAAAGTTTTAGTGTTAGACTTATTGTTAGTGTTTACTTAAATGATTTGGGAACTTTTTGTGGTGGACTTTGATAAGTATTCTCTTATTTGTTTTTATAAAATAAAAGAACAAGAAATGAAGAGATGTTCATTAGTATAGCTTCTTTCATAAACTATACATGGGAACAATCGGTTCTAGTTGCGTTTTACTTCTTGTGACAACAGAAAAATCGCGTTACAGAACAAATATGTTTCATTCTACAAAATGCTTTTCATTTCTTCATCTAAATAGAGGTGGTGTAGTACATTCGATTTAAGGTATATAACCCTAGCATGTTGTAAGTACTACTGTGCTTATTCTTGTGAGACATTAAACCGCAGTTTTAATGAAATAATTATTCACCAGAGAAAGTCACCTTACTGGTTTCAACATAGACCTTGTTCACTATAGTAAAAAGCCCTGACAATTATCGAATGAACTCACTTAGTACGGCTTTTACATTGAGTATAAATATGCATCTGTAATGTGCCGTTCATTTCAGCTTTATTACTGGGTAAAGTAATGCTATATTCTTAATATATCCGATTTTCTACCTAAATACCATCATTAAACGCCGTTTATTTACTTAGCAAATTAAACAAAACGTGTGCGTTTATTGTTGTTGTCGTCAAAATAATACTTGTCTTTCTGATTACAATAAGGTTTTGAACGTTCCGAAAATTCGTTTGAATGAATGGAGAAGAGCTGAACAGATAAATTTACGAGGGAGTGAAAACTCAAAGAATCTTTTAAAGGTTAGACGTTCTCAACATGGATCTTATAAATTGTTAAATGGTATTATTTGAAGAAGAGCAAGGATTCATTCTACCATGTTAATTTTTTGTCAACTGTTCTGTAAAACTCATCAGATTAAACACCAATTTACTGCAGCATTTAAAATGCTCACGATCACTCAATGCATCGAACTCTTATAGTTTAACGAATCTTCAAAATAATGTTCTGCCTATTTACTTTTTGCTCCCAGGATGAGAGATACGTGGTTATTAATCAAATGATTTAGCCACTAAATGACATCTTCAGTTAATCAAACTTGATCATAATAGTATCGATTCGAACTGCCTAGTTTTATTCTAACTATCAAGAGGAGTATCGTTTGGACCTTGCTCTCTAACCATCAAAATAAGCTTTATAATCCTGATAGAACTACCTACTTAAATAGGTTTAAGTCGTAACTGTGATATAGTTTATCTTAAAATCTTTGTAAGCAGTATTTAAACATAGTGCTCTTTTTCTATGTAGGACGTTTCAGTAATAACACTGTCAATGAGATCCCTTTTCAATAAAAATGAAGTTTTTGACAACTTTGTAAAACTATCTTGCTAATTCTAAAAATATCGTTTACTCACATTAACTGTAATATTTCCCGTTAAATTAGAAAGAATAGATTTTAAAAGCTTGATGACGGATAGAAATTTGTGAAAATATATGATTTTCCCAACAACTTTATTCACTATAATTTTATAAGTTAAAATTATATGTTAATAGATAGTATTGATTTACACCCCGAAACTGACAAATGACTATTTTTTGTGTATATATTACAGGTATCACAATTAACTACAGGTGGTGACCAATCATGTACGAAATCATCTCATTCCTCATCAGTAGAGGGTGAGAAATGTATTTCAGGAGGACAAAATTCCGAAAGGAAACGAATATCTCTGCAAATTAACAGGGTTTGCATTAATGAACAGAGTTCCACAGGTTTTAGTAAAGTACCTACTGGTTCAGATGTTTCTAAAGAGTTAGTATTGTTCGACATCACCTTTCCCGATTTCAGTATATCTTAACTTTTAGAAATTTACTGTTATATCTGCATCTAACCTCTGTTAAGAATTTAAGGTCCTTGTGTGAAATTAATTTATCAAAATTTTTGTTTACATCTTTGTGAGATTCTTCGGCAGTTGTAAAAATCTTATTTTCTATGTGCAAAAAAAGCTATTCAAATATCAACTTATGTATAGGTAGTTTAGTGACGTTGTATTTTTAACAAGTTCATCTGATCACCTGTACGGTCACCACTTTCCTGTCACATTTAATAATTTGAGAAAACCTAATAAGCTTGGAAGTGAATACCAAAGTACACGAATGTCATAATTTTTCTGTAGGCATATAAACATGACCCAACATATCGTGTCTCGGTTCATGTTTCTACACTTATTTGATAAAGAAACAAAAAGTGATTGAAAAGAACACTAGATAATTGAAGAGGACTGTATTTCATTCGTTTGATGATTTTGAATTAAGGCAGTTTTAGTAGAACTTCCTTGGTCACCTTTCGATCGTTATGGTAAACGAACCAGAAATACTGAGCACTCAGTGGTGACTCGAAGTTATTGTGGTCATCATGGGGTTCAGTGGTCCAAGGCTAAACTTCATCTATGGCTATTCGTACTTGTTGATAAACAGGCTCAAAATACAGTATAATGTAATATTTATTAGAGAACAAGTTCGAATTCATTTGTTCAGCTTCATTTTGTTGGTGCCTGCTTATCTGCATTGCATTGTACTCTTTTTGTTTTTATCGGCATGACTTGATCATTCACACGTTTTGGAGCTGGAGAAAAATGAATTTGTAATTCCCTCGTTCTTTTATTCAAGGAGCTTTTATCATGCATGTCGATTGAATACTTGATGGAAACACTCAAAATAAATACACAACTCAAACTACTTTCATGTGTTATCAGTAGTTTGATGTGTGTACATAAAGATAATTTACTGCCGCTTCTTAAAAACTATCATATTCAAAATATTCCTACATTTGAGATCATGGAGATTTGTAGCTAAGGTGTATGGTGTAAAGAAAGTTTTTTCTCCGAGCTGTATGGTTTATTCGTGGTTTTATTTTCTTTCTGAACAACATCATCAGTAGTAAAGTGTTCAGAATTCTCCACATTTGATTTACAACTTGTCCTGTAGACCTCAATCTTTACTGGTTATTGTTGACCCGTCATTTTCTATAGATCAACAATAACCAGTAAAGATCGAGGTCTACAGGACAAGTTGTAAACCAAATGTGGCGAAATCTGAACTCTTTACTTCTATCTGAAGTTTGCACTGATGATGTTGCTCAGAATGACAATCAAACATTCATGACTAAATCATTCAGCTCAGAGAACAAAACTAATTAAATTGCTGCTTTTTAATGACAAAATACTGTTTATACCTATGATACCAAAAGCCTGAATTATGCATACTGAATTTTAATTCTTCAGTCCTTTGTGATATCAATTTCTGTAATTGTTAGACGTTTTACTTTTAAAATAAATGTATTTTCTGCTACTCTCATACATAAATCCAGTGAATCATAACTTTACTGAAAAGTTTTATATATCAAATAAAAGTTACGTAAAAGTCAAAGGTTAGTGAAAAGTAGTAAACTGGGAACTAACATGTAGAAGAAATGTGTGGATGGTAACTATTCATTTGAAAAAGATAACCAATAATCACGTTAATGACTATTCATGAAATTAGGATGTGAGTCGTGATCATGGTAAAATATGTGATTGAAAAAGTTACAATTGATAACATAAGTTAAATTTGAATTTCTGAAGTGTTTATTTTGCACAAATATCTGATTCAAAGTTCCTTAAAGTCAGTGCATTTGAATTTGTGGATAATTTTGAGTAGTGACTTGCTGGGATAGTTGACTAAACTTAGACTGTTCATGCTCGAAGCTGTTGGCTGATTTATATTTAACTTTAGAGATCTATAGTGGGTAGTACTCTGAAGTGCGTTTGAAAAGAGAAATTATTGTTTTACCATTACAGTGTATGCCCCATAGCAAGTAAATCTACAAATAAATATTGTGGTGACCGAAAACAGCAGATTATTGTCTACATATTGTCGGATCACGAAAATTCACAGCCCAAATTAACGGAAGATATTGTTTAGAGACCTTTATAATCGTATTTTAAAATTTCTGGTAGAATAGTGGTAATGGACAAATACATTTAGTATTATAGGGGTTTTCACGTTTATGAATTTAGAAGGAAAGTGTTTTTCCAAAAGTATTTGCCTGATTTTATTCCATTTGATGTAATTTGTGTCTTCCGTTGATATTCTTCTATCCCTCTGACAGAAACCATATATTAGGTTTCTTTTTCTCCTTAATGAAATTTAACTTTTGAAGTTTCTAGTTGGCTTTCCAAATATCCCACTTGTGATCTAAGTGGTCTGATCTTTTCAGTAAAATATCGCAGAAACAAAATTCTTAGTTCAAATTCTATTCTAATGTAAAGGTAATCGACTGAAATCATTTACAGTACTGCTGTAGGACTGTGGTGTATGGTACTTGCGCTCAAAGATATAAGTAATATGTAGCAGAGATCGGAAATGGAATGTCTGCCAGCAGAAGATTGAAATGAAAAGAACAGAAAGCAAATCGGAGGGCAGTGGAAATAACAAATGAACTAGAGGAATAATGGAGTATGTACAAATGATGTATTTAATGTTTGTTTTCCATAATCTACTCAGCAACTGTATGATTTTGCGTCAAACGATAAAGTGGTTTATCGTACCTGAGTTCTCGTTTACTACAGTACGACACTAAAATAGCTATTTTTGTCACAGATAATGAAAATACAATGAATATATTTTTCTAAAATTAGACGTTCTCGGTTATTGGTCGAAGAAATATTTATGTGATATAATTTAGATTTTATCATAATGTTTCCCGTTATTTACTTCATTTATTTTTTCTTAATCATATGACTACAGTCCAAGAAGTTTTAGCGCCGGTGCCATTTCCAATCGTCTAACTAATACTGCCAAAAATTCTACAAGTTTATTGTATTATCCAGAGCAAAATATCAATTCAAATCAACTAAAAGTTATGAATAATATGAAATCAGAAATAGAGCAGTCCTATCAACAGCAATATGATATAGAAAAACAATATCAGTCCATTCGTTTAGGCGGTTTATATTTATTTAATAGTCTACCTCAACCTGCACCAAGCTTTTTTACGCAATCATATATTAAAGAAATCGAAACTAAAGAGATCGATGAAAAATTAGAGAGTAAGGACATTGTAATCTGCTCAAAAAGTCCTTATTTACAACGTATTAGTATAGATCATCATTCGTTAAAAGAATTAACTGATGCAGATTTGAAATTTAAAGTGATTATGGTAAGTCATGCAGTGGTTTAAACTTCTATAACTTATACCAACTAACTCCTATTATATATATGTATTTAGAAATAGATCGTTTGACGGATACGATTAGCCCATGATAAGTTAAAATTTGAATATATACCATATACAAATGTCAGTTTAATTTCAATATCTTATTTAGCAGTCAAACTGGTATCAGCAGCCTCTTAGCTATCATCATGATTTCCTGCCACTTAAACCAGTGACAACTTACTGGTTTAACTTTACATTTGAAACATCAAATTACACAGCGCTTCATAATCGTCTATAGCTGTCTTCCATAGTGACAGTTTCGCCTAATGAGTCGTTCTTCTAATCGTTTTTTGTTCATGACACATGAATCTTTCAAATTGTCACCATAGTGTAGTCAATAGATCGATGACAGTAGTAGGTTGTTTTTGATACATAAACGTGCTGTTGGTTTTTATGCCTTTTTCTTGATGTTATTTATGAAATAATTTCTCCGTCCTAATATTTATCCTGTAGGACTTTTCATTGACTATCATTTTGAGTGAAATGGTCAGAGATAATGCTTGCATACTCTTTACTTTTATTCTGTGCCAGACAAGTATTATCATTAAGATATTTTTGCAGTCCCAAAAGAGTTTATGATCCCTTGTAAATTAAAATCTCCATCGATCAGTGAAATATCCAAAGACGTTAACAATGAGCTGTTCGACCTGTGATTCATCACCTGTAGCGTTGAACAGATAATGGCAATCAACTATTCATAGACTGTGTGAGCATTTAGCAATCAATTTAAGAAATACAATGATATGTGGGGGTAGATTTTAATAGTTTGTATATAAACTAGATGAATTAGTTCTTGTAAAGCATTTTCCTTAGGTGTACTCAATGAATCATCATCTCATTTCCGTAACCTTCTTCTCTAAGAAATTTATCATATAATACGTTGTCTTTATATACTTACCGTTGTATATGTTTGTTTAACTGGAAAATAGATCTTGATTTATTTTCATAATATTCCTATGAACGTACAGACTTGATGACTAAATGACCACAAAACTTATTTAACTCACATCGACAACAGTCTCAACAACAAAAACGTAATTATGTGTGTAAAATATCAAATCACAACATATTAAAACTAGTGAAGTTTGTTACTTATATAATTAAGACACTAATATGTGAAGACAACTGATGCATTTATTACTTAACTGATGGTATTTCATGAACAATATCCATAGTTAATAAGTTAACACGTAGCGTACAGTTAGTGCTGTATAAAAATACCATAATCTAATTGTTTTTTTTAATAAAAAAAAAATATAAGCATTTTCCGCTAGAAATAGCTTTCGTGTTTTTAAATTTAATTTCCTCCTTTTCTCACAGCATAAGGCCGTTTTTTCCTAGTTTACGACATCTTCCCAGCGCTCATCCACAGCCTCGCAAACGGGAATCGAACCTAGGACCTTCGATTTCATGCGAGAGCACTTAACCTCTCGTCTAGTCTAGTCTAGTTTCAACCAATCCACAATATTGTCCTACCATTTTCCACAATCTCTTACTATCAATGTAAATGCACAGCTTTTATGCACTAAAGAAGAGCCAGATATAAATTTCAATCAGTATACCTATCTGTAGAACATTTAGGAGTGCGTTAAAGTTGTTGATGTAAAATGCATCATAGTTCAGTATCTAAATTGTCAAATTAACTATACACAGTAATAAAGAACAGTGAATACTCCCATCATATTTAACTCTGTAAAATACCCTTTAACTACATATCTATTTCTAAGCATTCTAGACAGAAGATTACTCTATTTTTAAAAATATTGAATGTTAATAAAAAGAATTATTTCTAAAAATTTCTACTAGTGTACAAGAAATACTAAACAACTTTCATTGGTTACAGTAATTAAGTTCACGCTTCAAATAAATTATGATCATTGTTACTGACGTTAAGTATCAAAATTTCACCGTACTTAACAACAGGGTTGTTCTCACTATGATTCTTGATATTTTTAATAATTATTTGTCAACGAATGTATTAACATATTGGACAGTACAAAATTTTGTTAGATGAACTAACTCAAATGATATACGGTCAAATAATTATCTCAGATTTTAATCCGAAATATAAGCGGCGAACAAATAGTACCTACTGGGCTATTACTTACTCCATCCAATACAAGTATTTCTATTCAAATAATCATAATAATGTAACTTTATAATCACATAAAGTTCATGTATTTAACTTTGAACCACACCGGAAATGTGTTAACTAGTAATGCTTTCTTGGTTGTCTAGTTTCTGACTAGGCACCATGTGTTTCGAACTTGCAACATAATCGTTCACAACCGAGTTCTTTTACCAATAACTCATTGTTTCACCAAAAAATATCATTATATTACTACACTATACTTTCGAATAATGATTAGTTGGTAAAAAAATTGATTTTCACAAACTTACTAAGGTCATATCGTTAAATACTATTTTTTCTTAAACCTATTTTTAGGCATCTACTACATATCATTTAAATAATGATACTCCTTTATCAAATGAATATACCATCTTGGGAACAAATGAGAATTTATTAGAAACAGCCGACTCATATAAATCTAATGAAAATGATGAAAATAATAAAATGGTTTGTACACCACCTCCTATCGATTTAGCCGGATATGAACAATCTGATGAATTATCCGCCAGTTTTGAAGAGTCACTTTTAGCTAGCCTTAAACAAGCAGTACTTGGCGAAGCTATAGAACCTGATTTACAGTTTTTATCATCATCAAAACAACAAATGACCAGTAATAATCATAATAACAAGTTAAGAAAAACAATTAAAACACCAATGACAAATGTGAAATATCCACATTCTGAAATATCAAAACCAATACCAGTACCATCACAAAGTATTAATTCTTTATCACACGTTTTTTGTATAACAAATGCTATTATTCAGTGTAGGGTTGTGAAGGCTGTTGAGTTTCATTAAGATAATGAACCGATCAGTGTTAGACCGCCATCGAACACCTGGAAACACTGGACACCAGTTTCATCCTAGTATGGGACTCTTCAGCAGTGAGCACCTACCATCCTGTACCCTGGACTCAAACCCAGGACTTTCGGTCTCGTGTGAACACTGAACCCTTAAACCACTGAGCCGGGATCTAACGGTGTTAATGCCTAAGTTCAACCAATTCACGACAATGCACGACCGTTCAGTGCTTCCAGGTTCTCAATGGTCGGTTCATGATCTCAATACGTTATTGGTGTTATGTATACTTAACAAATGATTTCTTTTTTTCATCAATCCGATAAATAATTTGATATAAATACTTAGATTGGTGTGCTATTAGAAATTAATAGATAGATAATAGATATCACATGAAGGATACTTGAAATGAAGATTTTGAAGTTTATTATTTTTAAAGGAATTTTGCGTCAAGTACTGAAGTTAGATAGCGAAGCATTAATAGCTAAGGAGTCCGCTACAATCATTTCTTCCTAATGTATGACACCTCAGCAGCGCACATGCACGAATTATTCTGTAAGTTCTTATTACACTTCTGTTGAAATCGTTTCCCGATCAGTGTGAAGCAATGACTTAGTCATTGAGGCAATCAACTTTCAACTGCTAGATTGTAGATTTAAACTCTGCTTCACTAAATTTGGACACAGTTTGGCATTATCAGGCGTTATCGGGTACTAGGTAAGGATGGCAAATCAGTTGATGAAGTAGTGAGACTTCATCAGTTGAGATGGCTGGGACACGTGTTACCTATGCCCAACCACCGACTGCCCCGATGTGCGATGTTTTATGGTGTAGGAGTAGGCTGGAAGAAAGCTAGAGGCAGTCAGACCAAAACATGGTACAAATCCATGAAGTCACTGACAAGTGGACTGAGCTATGTTGGTAGGTGTAGACTACCTGGTTGGGGACCACGAGACGAAAGCAACCGATGGTTAGAGACCTTGAATGACATGGCTCAAAATCGTTTGCAATGGTGCAGGTGCATCCATTCTTTGTGTTCTCTCCAATTCTAATCTGAATTCTTCATGTCTTTTATTTTCTTTCCAAATTTATTTCACTGGATTATACTCTTTAAATAACATCTTCAAACCCTAATGTTTCCGCTTACTGCTTATACTCTTACCACCTCTGCCGCTACGGAATGTGAATCGACAACTGTATCTCTGTGCTAATGTGGTATGTCAACTCGAACTGATGTACGTGCGTACAAAGTTCTACGTTGTTGACTGACTGATTAGCAGTTTTTAAACCTGAAGTTTCGAGTAAATCTAAGTGAGTTAATCTGTATTTGTTTACTAGGTACCGTCAACCAAGTGACTGAATGATCAGTTGTGAAATATTGTAAAATATTAACCAGGATTTCTGTATTTTCAGAAGTTTACTCAATTAATCTCAATAATATGGTGAGAAGACGGAGAAATGTAATATAATTGGACAATCGATATCAAACAATCTAGTTACACTCACAATTCGAAAACCAGTAAAGGTTATTTCAACAAAAAGATAAATACGGAACGGTAATTGGAAATATGAAAGATACAAAATAAAAAAATTAGTTGTAAATATCCTAGTCTTACAGTAGGTCAGTTGCGGTAAGAATAGCTGACTGGTAACGTTTTAGATTGGGAAGCTGGATGAAACGGGGTTGGATCAGCTGGGCATCACAAGTTTCGTCATGACTACAGCTACGCCTTACTGACAAGTGGCGGATAGCACGATATCCAGGTGCAAGGTTTCCCACTAACTGCCTTTAACCACCCAACATCTCAAAATAGTGTGTGTGATGGCAAGTCATTTAGACTAGCAACCACATCACAAATCGGTCGATCGAATTTGAAAAGCACTACAGGACTAGACAAAAATGACGTTGGTCACTGCTAAAAAATAAATCATTTGTAAAATAGTAAGAAAAGGTCGTCACACCATCCGAAACATTAAAATGAATAAAAGATTTGAAAGTACGAACACTTGTCGGAGGCGTAAATATTCTAATATTAAGGATTCTACAAACTTAAGAATGAGATGTTGACAACTCCGACACAATACTTTAGGGTCAATCAGATATCTGTTTTTCTATCGAGAAGCATGGTCTCCCACTTCCTGCTGTCTTCTATGCAGTACTTCTTACGGTTTAGTGATCATTCGACAAAAGTTATATTTATGTTATATGTAGGTCTGTAAAACTAGCAATTAAATCAAATAAATTATCAGTGATTTGGTTTTATTTACTTTTTAGGTCCATCATTAAATCCTCTTAAAAAGAACATGTTAAATACAATTGAAAATGAAAAATGTGATATTGTGATTGCACTTCAAAAACAAATATTAAATGTCAGCTTCAGTGACAATGATGATTACAATGCGGGCGATGATACCACTACAACCGATGGTTTAGGATCGTTAATTTATTTACGTTATCACTTGGCACGTCATCATCAGCATTACGAACATGGAGATCAACACCTAGTTCATGAAAGCTGTGATGGTCATTTACCAGTGGGTATAAATCACCAGTTATTGACAAAATCAAAGAAAAGCACTTGTCAACAAGATGGTTACACGTGTAGAAATGAAAATGATCCTGCCATACTTACTCCTTCTCGTGCATCATCGTTGGTTCATCAACGTACACACAGTACAGATGATGTATCACAATTAATTACAGGTTTTGAATTGTCCAGCCATTGGGGTACTGAAACAGCAAAGTGAGTTATTTTATATAACTATCTTACTAAAAGTCTGTTAATTATTGAATGCTACATGATGAGAACTATAGGTAGATAAAGTCGGTAGCGACAGTTGGTATCAATTAGTTTTATTGTCTGTGTAGCTCATACTAACCTAGTATCAAGACTGTGTGTATTATGTAGTAGTTAATACTATTTGATGAACTGAATCAAGGTATGCGAAATAACATTAAAATCAGTTATAACTTGGTTTAAAACTTGAGTAAGTCATCCAGTCATAACCAATGTAGTACTTGGTTTGAATGTGCATCAGTTCAAGTTGCAATACCACATTACTGCGAAAAGATGAAAGCAAATAAGATGAAAGGCAAAAGAGTTGAAATAGTTATAGTAGACGTGATAATGAGGAGAAAATACATTTAAAGTATGGTTTGAGAAGACGAAATGAAAAGGTATATATAAAAAACTCCTGGAACACAAAATCTAATAAGAAATAAAGAATGAGTTTCTCCACGTTATTGTGATCGATTCTGAGCGGTATCGCTCATTTCCAAACCACTGATCGTAACTATCACGCGTAACCCAACTAGGCACTTTTTGTACTTACTAGCACGTCTTAGTTCATCAGTTAACGAATCCATGGACTGATACTAAGTCTTGGTTAAGCCATTAAGCTTTCCATAAACGCTCTGCATCAAAACTATAACTAATATATGTTTTAAACAATTATAATAATGAATCGAAAGGAACCAAAGGTTATTGACTTATTTAGTTAGTCTAATTCTTAAATAATAAACTTCACTCAAAAATATCTGTGAAATGATTGTAAGTATATTCAGGTTCATAACAGAAGTTTTTATAAATGTATTATAAGTTACTTTGCACAAGAAGATGACTAAATTGTTTGGCATCAACAGTCTCAATGAAAAGTATACTTTACTAATTTGATATTGATTTAACTGACTAAAGAAGGACTATATAACTGAGGGAAAGAGAGTCATACTACATCATATAATGACCGGAGATAGAAAAATGGATCATTGAATCTTGAATAAGTTCTCTAAACGTGTCATACTCACTAAAAGACCTTAAAGTCTTGTGTTCAAAACTTGGCGAGGTCATGGGTTCACAGTACAGAAAAAACCTGAAGTAAGTCGAAATAATCTATCAGTTCTTGAATTGTATGATACAGAAAATCCATTCGTTAAACATACAAAAATAAATAATCACTTATTAATGTTGAGTGAAATTCTCACTTTCTGGTGTGTTTTTTTTTCAACTTTTCACTGAACACCTCTCATGGTATATGTTTTTCTAGCTCATCTAATGAAAGTATATCATATTCAGTATGTGAAAGTATTACATCACCTTTGCCTCAATCATATCAACTTGTACAACATACATCTTCTGTTAATCATATAAAGTTTCAAAATACTGTGTCAGTTAATGAAGAACTAGTCAATAATAATAATAATAATAGTTCTGACAAACTATTTGATATAAATTCAAATCATGGACTTATCGAATTAATTTATGATCCAATATTGAAATGTTACTATGATCCTAAATCTGGACGTTTTTATGAATTAATCTGATGAGCTCTAGAATAGAGATAATATGAAGAGAGAAATAGAGAATGCTATTGCATATAGATAATATTTATCATGGTAATTATACTACTGATGTAATATTTTTGTTTTGTTCACCATGTAGCTTTGTGGATATTTTTTTTAGTTGCACATTGTTACTTCTTCTAGTACACGAGTATTTTTGTTGAATAAATAAGAAATACTACTTCTAATACAATTACTACTGTTAAAGTCATTATCAGTGATATTTTCTTTATAGTTTCCAGAACATTCCTCTTATACTTATTCCTTCTAAGCATAAACCTTTTTTAACTGTGATTATGAATCAAAAGATGTTGAGGATTTAGTCTTCAGTAAAAATTTAATGTCTGTCTTAATTTATGTATCATAGAAATTATTTGTAAATATGTCCGATTTCATTAATTATTGTAAATATATTGAAATACTAATATTCTCAAAGATCAGCATTGTACTTATAAAATCTGTAGTGAAGAAATATAATTGTTGTGAACGGGGAAATAAGAAGCCCAGACAACTACGAAAACTATTTTCTTGAGACGTTATTTCATTTCATTCGAACCTTGTAAAACACTTATATTTATTTTTGTCCCTATTTTATTCTACATAACATGAGCTTTCGTTCTATGTAACATTCACTGCCATACCCTTTTTTGTCCCGAAAATATTGTAATTTAAACATAATATTTTGTAAATTTAGAACAATATATATAAGCGAACAATGTTGTTTTCGATTAGATCCTCATCAGGCTTTACTCTAATATACAGTAATATTTATATGCATTTATGAACTTATTAAAGTAATCAAGGTAGTTTATAAGTCAATGATAACAATGAAAACGATTACATAATAGGTAAAATGTGAAAAGTGCAAATTGATGGTGTGACAACAGGTGCATTAGTTTTTGATAAGCAATAATAATAAAGGTTCAAATCAATGTTACATAATCGGAAATAGGTCAATGAATAGAAAAATATAGAAACTGAGATAACAATTATAAAATTATAAGATGACGTAATAAGAAATGTTCAGATAATTGGACCATGAAACGTATAGTTGAGAGAAAATAAAGTGGTCGGAGGGTGTGAAGAAAAATAATAAACGAAGAGAAAGCTAGAAAAGGAATAAATAAATAAATAAATTCATTTATTACTTAAGGCCAAGGGAGAGATAAGGGAGTTACAAATTTCTTCTGAACACAAAGACTTGGCTTGCTTATCAAAAACTAATGCACCTGTTGTCACACCATCAATTTGTACTTTTCACATTTTACTTATTATGTAATCTTTTCCATTGTTATCATTGACTTATAAACTACCTTGATTGGTTTAATAATTTCATATATGCATATAAATATTACTGTATATATTAGAGTAAAGCCTGATGAGGATCTAATCGTAAACAATATTGTTCGCTTATATATGTTGTTCTAAATAATATTTTGTATCTTATTTTCTACCCTAATTCCCAGTTTCGGGCATAATTGTATTTTTCCAAATTATCGTACGTTGTGGTCAGGATATTCACTTATTTATTCATGTACATTTTTGCACTAATCCGAATTCAGAGTGTTCCAACTGTCTTGTCTTCTCTCACTTGCGTGCTTGCCAACCAATCAGGTTATCGAATAGTTCTCTCTCTACCCCATCTCGAACTCACGCGTACTAGACTCAAGGTTAAGCCGCTCAGCCTATCACGTCAAGATCATAATCTAGACTAAACAGATCAAGGTCAAGTCATAACCAAGTATCGACGGGGTAAAAGCGATTTAGGGTCATAACAATAATGTACGATTTGTAACTGATTAAAAGGTTGTCTTTCTACGTGACAGACGAAACGATTATTGTAAATTTATAATTATTGGGAAGCTATTTCATCTTATTCACTCTCCATGGCGTATACAGATGTAGGAGCGAGTGGAGAAAGCTTGGGGTTCTATTATAGTCAAAGTAGTCCGAGAAATACTTACTGCTTATTTCGGTGAATTACTACTGACTAGTTTTTTTGTGTTGTATGAGCTTCATTCTGAGCCTTGTGTAGTTACTTGATATCTAGTAATTTAAATGTAGTCATAATATTGTGTACACTGATCATAATAATAATTCCAATTTCCTTCAATATCTTCTTAAAGTTGGTCAGCTGATTAATTGTTCTGTCTACTAAAAACTATTGGATTTGGTGTTCGATGTCACGAGGTAGTTACTGGTCTGGTCACTTCTATACGTTGTTCCGAATTGAAAGAAAACTATTTTCGCGTGAACGGTCGAAAAAACTATGCATGTATTAGGATAGGAAAAAAGGATTTAATGTTATATAAAGCCTTATTAAATATTATCGAGGATGAAGATGTTTAAAATGTATATTACGGTGTTCTAACTGTCTCAAGGATATTTAGTTGTTGACACACATATCAAAAACTTATTCTAAATTTCACGAATAACATGCTTTTTTCAATCAGATAATACTGTTGTGTAATATCTTATAGCTTTAATTTGTCTTGTCATAGCCAGTATATAGAGTGAAGAATCTCCACACGATATTCTGAACATAAACCAATCCCTAAAGACTTGCCACATCTTTACAAATAGAATCACCGAACACCTAATGAATAGCAGATATGAACGCCACTTTTATTTTGCTTTACAAAAGGCATTAAAATCAAACGTTTTCAATTAGATAAATAAGGAACATTGTTGACCATTTTTGCTTATCCAGTAATATTCAGTCATTAAGTTTATTTTAATTCCATCATCTTACAGAGTAGTCACTTTTGTTTGTGTAAATGTGGTTTTCGTTTGCCTACTTTATATCTCTAGTTTACCATACATAGTATGAATAAACAAAAATACTATGCCTACTATCAGATTTTTTTGGCTTCTCACTCATTTTTTAATTGCTTCTAGCCTCTTTTTCGAAGGATGGGAAAAAATGTCATCAGTCGCTACCTAGTGATTAACCAGTTGCCTCTTTTTTTTTGAATATCCATCTAAACTTTAAAAACTAAATTATGTTAGAGGTTTGTTTTCAACCATATAATTATTTTTTATTTTAGACATTACGAAGTTGTATAATTTGGTCAATAATTAAAATGCATGCGATGGCTAGTCATTCAGATTGATTGTCACATTCTGACTTGGTCGATTTAATGCAATCCTGACTAAAGGACTACAAATAAATGACACCGGCCACTATCCACTGATCAATCAGTTGTATTTAGTTATATTGTTTAAAACATTTGGGCATTACACAGATGAACTTAGTTGTAATGTTAAATCACAATCATGGCAAAAGCGTTTAATAAATCTTGATTGAAGATAGTATTGTTATGAGTTAATACATAATCTAAGTTTCATTTGCTGATCACAAATTTATTTTGTTTTAAACACATAGATATTGGTACAAGGAGGCACCAAATACATATGCGCCACACAAATCTCATTTGATATGTATGAGGGCTGTGATACTGCTCGGGTACCCAAACCGAAGTAGGTGGTTTTCTTGGCGGGCCACACACTGAGCCTTCGACCTGAAGGTCTGATCCACAGGGCAGTGGAGCAACGTAAGGAGATGCAGTCCCATGGTAGCCGGTGACCAACGATTGGTTCATACACCACTGGTTTGGAATCAGGGTTTTCCAACTCCCCCAGGTGAACTCTCCATGTCCACCAACCCGGTTAAGCGCCGTACATTCGCTTTTCGTCCTTTCGATTTCGTAAACAACACCCCCGCCACGAGAAGGCAGTGAGTAAAACTTTCCTGGAAGAGGCTATATACGTGTGGCCATGTGAGAGCATTTCGCGAGGGAGAGCGGACTCTTCCCACTCTCGACCGTACCAGGGCATTCGGGGGCTGCTGATCACAAGTGAATAACTAAACACCACTGCATCTATTACACCAGTGCTAATTAAAATATGTCAACTCCATTCACAATATACCTGAGATTGTAGTAGTTTAACTCTTTTGATGAAAAATACAGATCCGTTAACATGTAAAACAATCGTTCTTTATGATAGCTTACGATTACAAAGCGTAGATTTGAAACTTTATGGCAATAATCTCCAACTATTTAATAAATTGAAACATCATTGATAAAATGATGCTATGCCGAAGACCATAAGAGAAATTATTAGCCGTTCGGAATACAAAGGCTACGAAACAGTAATTCCTTACAGAACCCCCCCCCCCGAGAAAGGGAATACACAAACTTTCTACCTGACTTATATCTAAGGTACGCAATTCGTCTGTTAGTATTAAAATCCGCATAGATGCGACAAATAAACTACTTCATATGATTTCAGTTCATTTTACTTTTAGAACCATTTCTGTAAGGTTGGAGATAGTTCTTTGCAAATACAATATACATCTAACTACACAGTACTGTACTACAATTTTCTTTAACCTTTTAAATTTACGTGAAGCATATACTGTCCATCAAATCATGTTTGATATGTATTAGTTAATTAGTAGAAAAAAGAAAAAAAGGAAACACTAGTATTATTGTTTATAGATTACATTTTACTAATTCATAGCTTACAGTGAATAGATACAAACGATTTACAAAAATTAGCGCAACCATTTTCAATGCAAAATAAAACAACACTTTGTATTCCTTAATAAGTTTGCAAATACATATTCTTTAAAAAAAAAAAGAAAGACGGAAGAAAAATATCAACGAACTATCAACGAATTAAAAAAATAATCCCATTTAGAAACCACAGAACTTATTACAAAATGTTTTTGTGAATTTGTATAAAAAGTGAGGTAAAACAAAAGAGGAGAAAGAAAGAGATGAAAGAAATGGAAGTCAAGGCAATAAAACAATGATAAAATTGTTACGGATTAGTAAACATAACTGTAGTTGTGTTTTCTATGCATTATTATTATTACTATTATTGTTATGTTTAGTTAATATTATTACATCCATTTGTTATTTATGTTCAATTGTAAATAGTTAATACTGAGAGAATCAATCCAATAAAATTGACTGGTTAATTATCATGAATTCATTTCTTATCTGATAGTGTGAAATTTTAGAAAAAACAATAATACTAAGGTGTATTTGTACAGTATACTTGGATTTTCAGTCTCTGTAAATATATATGGAAAGCTGATTTACGGTGAATAAGTCGGAACATAGTAATACTCAAGAATGAACATACATGTACACACAAACAGGCAGAATCATAGACTATGACTATTGGCAACAACAGTAAAAGTAAGTTTATCCGAAAAAATGTAAACTGAATCAATCAAAAATTTGTTGTATAAATGGATATATGGTGTGTAACAAGTACTCTCAAGTAATTTGAACATTCGTGTGAAAGTTTATAGTAGTATTTTTGAAAATATGATTTGTAAAAACCGGAAAATTATCAACAATACTAAATAACAATAACTATAATGAACTATAGAGGTATTAAGTGTGTTTATTTGTGTGCACATATGGCATTCAGTATTTTACCATTCTAGTTATATAAAATCATTTCATACATCCATGTATGTGTATCTCGATCATAATTATATGCGGTTAGAAAATGATTACAGATTCACTGTAAAGAGTGAGCAAAAGCATCCCTCTTCTAACGAACTGACATAATACAAAGTAATTTATCAGGGATTGAATTAGTCGAAATGAATCACTACTACTAATTATCAAAGATATACACATATGAATCAATTAGATTTGAGGATAGATTCGAAAAAAAATCAGAACAGAAAGATCATAGGTGAATAAGACATAATAAGTTATATGAAAAATGTAAGTTGTCTTTTTAGTTAATAAAAGAACACCCACCTTTCACACAAACACACTCAAGCATCATTGTAAAGTGAGTAAGCAAGTAATGCGTAAATCAACATAGTATTTCGGAAATAGTCTGTTAATCTTTTTAACCAAGTTATAAAAATGTAAAGATGACGAACGAGTTAATATAAACACAAACTTTTGTAATTGACAATAAACATGGAGAAAACATTGTTTTCTTCCTCTTCTCTTTTTTTACTGTACGTGTGATCTATATTGATCTTGATGAATGTGTTTCAGTTGAGCGTGTAATTTATCCAATTCCCTTTGTTTAGCAGCAATACTGGATTTAGTTTCAATTACCTAGAAAAATTGACAGAAAATTAAATTCCGAAAGAAAAATTATTCATCACAGTTAACTGTTAATTTCGTTGTATTAGGTGCATGAAAATGAGAGCGATTTTATTATCATTTGGTTGCCATTGTTATTGTTGTATTTATTCGTTTGTTTGAAATTACAGACCAATTGAATTTCATGACATTCATTTATCATCATTTCACAGGTCTATATATATGGCTTTGAGTTGAATGTGTGCGTAAGAGAAAGAGAAGTGTTATTGATCTTGTCGGCTTAGACAAATTGAAATAAATGAAGTGGGAGTGAGTCTTGAGATGATGACTGAAATTCATATGCTCTTAGTGGTGAATAAGAAGCATTATTATTCTTTTCATCGAATTATAGGAACAAATCTATCATTGTAGAATTGTCAATAAGGGATTAACGGATATAATAACGATTGTTTTCAT